CCCTGCACTCACACATGTTGCAATGATGCAGGCCTGAGACGGGCTTCCTTAAAATAGTGAGGGAACAGTCTTTGTTTTAAAAGCAGGCGTGGAGAATACTCTACACCCACTTTTACAGCTTAGTAAGGGTGTTTGTGTAAAATGCTGCAGATAAAATCCATTGTTACTCACGCACCAGGCACTATGCCTGTGCCCACATAAGAAGTAAAAGTTATTTATGGAGAACACAGAACAAATCTTTGGGCTAGAAGGGGCCTTTTAAGATCATTTAATCTAAACCCCCTGCAATGAGCAGGGATATCTTCATGATGTTCAGGAAGTGAGCTATTGTTTTAATAGGCTCATTAGTCCTGCACAGTTAGGGCACCAGATGCTTAAATCATGAAGAGGTGTACTAAGGTAGAGTTAGGTAGCAAAAACTAAAGCTTGCACTATGCCAGCTTTCTCTATTTTTTCAAGTCTATCATAATGACCAATAACTGTTCCTTCATCATATTGCGAGTGAAACTTGCAGGCTAACATGCCCCTTTTTCATAGTAGCCATGAAAATAAACATGGTCTGTCTACATAGAAAAGCTGTATTAATTTCAACTCAAATCCATTCCAAGCTGATAAAATTTTAAAAAAATCTTATTTCAAGATTAAAGTACTCATTTTCTTTGTGTTGTTATACTGCTAACACTTACTAAGTTATTAATTCTTCATTTCATTTATGAACCAACACCGAAATATTTTTCTTAACTCCTTAAGAAAAGGAGTTAAGAAAAATTAAGGAGTTTCCTTAACTTAGCATCTATTTTTAGTAATTTCATTTCCCATTAGGAAATCTCCTATGTGAATATCCAACCCTCTGAAACCAATTGCAAATTTACCATCAACTTCTTGGCGATCAGGATTTCAAAAATTAAGTTTATACATATATACCACCCTAGTGCATCAGAGATGGCATCAGAGATTTGGCCATTACAATGCTGTCTGGCTTTTCCATGAATTCTAACAGTCCTGGAAAATAAACATTAGTTCAATTTAGGGATAGAAAGATGAATTTACTTATATGGGTAAGCATTAATCCAAAACACAGTTTTAAAACTTGAGCAGAAGTTACAAATACTAACAGTATTTGTACCAATGGTAAAGGTCATTGAAACCTTTAACATACCTAAAATGTTCTCATCACAATTTAATTAGAGATCTTGGCTTCTCTGTTTTTAAGTAACACGGCCATGAACCATTACATTTTCATCCAGTGCGTATAGGGCAGAAACAGTTACTTATAATTGGGTGATCATGGTTTTTTTGAAGATAAAACAGTGTTCTAGAATTGTATCTCAGTGCCCTCCAAAGTCCTCCTGGTGTTGAAGAGATTAGTTCATTAGGACAGCTGGGACAATTTTAAGTAGATAGCAAAACTGTTTTTGAGGTACTTTTAGATTTTCATTCCTTTGCAGATGTAAGAAAGTATTAATGCTTAAAAATAGAATTATTAAAAAAAAAAGAAATGTTGGTTGTCTTGCACCTTCTATTTCAGTATAACAAATCCCTGCCCCTCACAGACTACCCTTACGGCCTGTCCCAATTCTGTTCCCAAATCCTCCTCCCTTCCCACCTAGTCTAGTAGCTACCATGAATACTCCTGCAACTGGCATAAAGACTTCTGGAACAGACTGTACCAGGCTGCATGTGGCTGGACTGGAAACAGGGATGCCAGACTGAAATGGAACAAATACAGGTATGAGAGCAGCTGGAAGATATGGAAAGAGAAGGCAATGTCAGAAGAGAGGTGATTCTGAAGCTGGAAGTGAGACAATGTGACTATTTTTCAATTTAATATCACCATTGTGACAGACAGGGGCACAGGACTTGAACACAAATCAGCAGGTCACAATGAATACTTTCTAAACTTGCTTAGGTAGTACCAAGTGAAGATTTGCCTACAGACTTCATTTGGGGAAAACATGAGAAAGGAGACAGTATTGGTAATTGAAGTAAACCAGATGCAATATCAGTTAACTAGAATATGGCAATAAAACTTCACCCATTGAAAGTGAATGATTCCCTTAAAACAAGGAAAAACTTAAAAGAGCATTCTAATCTCGCAGATCTATTATTACATTCTAAATATAGAATTTACTGCCTGCATGTTGGAGTTCAAGATATGCTTTTCTCCACATTGTATGAATGCGTTTTGTTCTCTCCAGACTTTAAAAGATAAGCATTAATTTGACACATACTTGAAATTGTTAGCTCTTAAGAACTAGAAGAATTACTGGCTTCTTACAGCATCACTTCCATCTAGATGTCTATTTAAATAAAGATTGCAAAATAAAAAACAGGCAATGCAAACCTGCTTTCTAGCAGTAAGTCCTTACTTGGGAGGATCATCTACAAAACAACAGTAATCCAGTATACACTTTGGCCATTCTCTTATGGCAATGAGCAGTGAAATAACCAATAACTCTTTCTGCAATGCCAGTATACAGTCCTGCCTGAGCTAAGCCTGTCAGTGAGAGATTTTGGAATAAGCCATAAGCCACCAAGTAGTCAACAGTCAGACACTCAAATTCAATATATGACTAAGCAATAAAATTCTGTGTCCTGTGAACTGAAAGTTGCATCAGATTCCCAGAAATGGTATAACTCTACATAGGGTAAGAAGTTTTTTTCACTGGGTATATAAAAATGTTTTTCTTCACATGTAATTTAACTGGGAAGAGTGTTAATGGCCTGCTTGAAGCTATAAGACAGAGCAGTACCTTTGTCATATTTATGGAAGTATAGAACAAGCCAGGAGTGATAAAGACTTGTCTCTATCTACAGATAATGAAATAGTTTCCAGTTTACCACTGCAGATGTCCCTCTATTTCAACGTTTATTTTTTCCCATTTTGGTGGCTCAGCACAGTTGTCATGCTCCATCTGAAGGTGAGTCCTGAAGGAAAGTAGTGGTTTGCAAATCTAGTATGTTTCTGATCGAACACCTCCTAGTACTGAGATAGATCTCACTGGAGTTAGAAGTTATTAGGTATATTTGGGAGTTCCTTGAAACTGGAGGTTCAAGAGTATTTGAAAGCCAATACAACAATGTCAACTTACAGTAGCATACAGTATCTTCATTTAATCACAAACAGCATGTTACAGAACAGCACAGCAGAAACTTTTACTCTCTTCTTCCCTCTAGTATCCAGCCTTGTCAGATTACTACAAGTTCATCCTGGTCACAATCATGATCCTAGCCTCTCTAATAGAGGTCATTCGACTCTACCTGGGATACATGGGCAATCTGCAGGAGAAGGTATGTTACCATGTGTACATATTAACTTGTGCAGGAGAGCTTTTTGGAGTTTAATGTAAATAAAATGGTCTACCAGTTCATCCAAGAGATTTAAGTCAAGGAGATGATTATTTCTCTACAGTCTGCATCTTCAGCTTTCACTTAATTTTGTGCATTCCAAGAAATATTCCCTCAGGAGAGAGCACTCTCACTCCTTAAAACTGTTTTGTCAAAAAATAAGCATGGTTAAAAACACAGTATGTGGAAATATTAAGCCACCTCACTTTGCCATTTCACATTAGATGCTGGCTTTTGGAAAATTAAGTGGTTTTTCTTCACAAGATTTTGAATTTTTTCATCTCCAGCTGCCAGTTTTATAAATAGGTGATGTCTCCCTATTATAGGTCCCTGAGCTGGCTGGGTTTTGGCTCCTGAGTCTCCTCCTGCAGTTGCCTATAATTCTCTTCTTGCTATTTAATGAAGGTCTGAAAATTCAGCCACTGGAGCGAGCAGTCCATATCATCTTTGCCCTTTTCCTCACCTTCCAAATCATTGCAGCCTTTGTCACGCTGAGAAGAATGGTGAACAAACTGGCAACTCATTTCCGCCTTAATGAATTTGACCAGCTGGAGGAACACCCTGTGCCCGATTTGTACACCCTGGGTAAAGAAGAGAGCGCAGTTTCCATGGCTGGTAGGGGCCCATGCTGAGGAGGTTCACCCAACAAGTGCTGGCTGGGGGCCCGAGAAGCTAACAGAGGTAGGCCTTATCCTCCTACAGCTCTGTTTCTGTTTTGTTGGGTCATTCTTTACCTTCCTACATCAGAGATACTAAAAAATAGATCTTGCAAAGAGCCAATGTTGAACCTCAGAGACTGGAGCTTCACTCTGCAGCCAATTACATAACTGGCCTGTGTGGACTATTTATGGACTGTTACTGCATAGAGTACCAAAGTAGGTTTGGTGGTTTTTACATTTTACGAAGTCATGTGGTGTTTTTTTAAAAAAAACAAACACAAACAGAAGTCTTTTCTCCTCACTGTTTGCACAGAATTGTTTTGTTTACAATAAAAACCTATAAAAGATTTGTGTTCATACCAGTTTCTTCTGGTCTTCCAGATACGTTGCACATATTTAATGTCCGATACCTCAGTTAAGCAAAAAAACCAAAAAAACCCAAAAAAAACCCCAAACCAAAAACAGAGAACCCCAAGAAATCTTGAGGCCCAGAAAGAACAATAAGATAGTGAACAAAATACAAGTTCAAAGATGGTCTTCCAGCCAATTCCAGCACTAGAAATTCCTTACTAATAAACTAGGGATAGAATTTTCAAAGTATTCCTTCCTCAGAACTCCTACACTCATCTTTGGCACAGCTAGAGTTTTAACTATCAAGGGTGGTGCAATTTTCTCAAATGGACAATTCAGTAAGTCAGCAGTAACAAAATTATAGCCATTTAAAAAATTGGTTTATGTCACTAAAAGGCAGAGCCTGTTTCTCACAAGCCAGGGCATATGCCAAGGTTCTCTCATTCCTGTTACCTGTATTAATATCTGGACGATCTTCTCCACTTTCAGTAATGGCTAAAAATTCATTTTTCTGCCAAGGAGGCATGGGGAATCAAAAGTTAAAATAAATATTTCATCTGAACCCTTTGAGTCTTCAGCAGGGCAAGAGACATCTGTTTTGAAAGCTGGCACAAACATCCAAACTGCTCAAAGGAATGTAAAGATGGGTCTAACATGAAAAAGGCCCAAGATGTTTAAAACTGCTGCATATTTAAAGCTTATAGAACCTTGAGCAAAAAGAGGGCATTAGCTTTGTTGTATACCAACATGGTTCATTTTCTTTTTAATCCATGAGTGAATAGCACAATTCTACGAAAACTTCCTTTTTCATTTTGTTACTATAAAGCATGTATTATCAGAGCACATACCCCTTTGTTTTTAAACAAACTACTGGCTTGGATTGGCTATCGCACAGAAAGGGGATTTCTGTAAGAGAGTCTCTAAGAGTGTCTTTCGCAGTTAATATGAAACACAGAGCCCCATATTGAGAGCCTGCAAGAGATACAGTGAGATTTAAGCAGAAGTTACATCATTTCAAACACATTTTTACAGCATTAAGAGTGTTTTTACAAGGAGTTTCTAACTGATGCAATGGGAACATTGCACATATTTTCACATCAACCACAATTATGCTATGGGAGAGCGCCGAGGTCAGGTCTGATGAGCTACGGAAGCTTGGTAGGATCCATTACAGTAACAGCAGCATAATGGGTCCTGAGAGGCCCAACAGAAACATCACACACCTTGGAGCCTATTTTCTCCAGTGACTGTGAACTGTAGCTCAGATGTCTTGGCGCCTCTGTAGCCATACGGAGCTGCCTCTTCCAGCCCAGGTATGATGGGACTAACACCAAAGGCTGCCCTTCCTGGCCAAGGATGTAGGGTAGACCTCCAAGGAGCTCGCATCTACCACTAACAAAACCTGGCTGTTAGAGAAATACAGGTTAGCCTGTAGCCTGGAACCGAGCGCTGCTAGTTTTCAATGCCTTTCAATACTTAGTGTCTAAGAAAACATACAAGGTAAGGGAAAGCGGTATCTTTTCCATATGTATACCAGTTCTCCTAGTCTGGCCTTGATGTCATTGACAGTACAAGCACTGGGTCAGCTCAGAAGAGGGCACTTACCATCCCTTCTGCTCTGCATGTAGCTTGCCTGTTCCCCTTATTAAAAGCCCACTATGGGAGATTAGTAGCTAAGCACACCGAGATAGTACAGTAAGCCAAGCTCTGAGGAGATAGATTGATTACCTGTAGTACTCCAACCTCTTGCCCTTACTAGAAAAGGGCATATCCTTTTCTTTCCTGTATCACCTTAAAAAGTTTAAGTTTTCAACTCTTCTGTGAGATTAAGAGTGTAATGGATGGGAAGGCTTTTAACGCCTAGTACATCGAATACAACATAAAGCTGAAAAAAAGTCAGCCATACACCAATGCTAGCAACAAGGAACTGGCCTCCAATCTTAAGGCCATGAGACTCGATTCAAAATCCTTGTTTTTAGTGATAAGGAAATCATGCACTTGGAAGATCATATTACCATGCAAGACAATTATCAGGAGCCAAAGATATCAGGACACACAGCACCCTGCTAGGGAGAGAGAGAATATTGATGAGGCAATACAGGAAATAGAATTCAGAAAAACACTGTTGGAAATAGAGCTGCCTGGAAATGCTTAAGACAGAAACCAGTCTGATGTGTTCATCAAATACGTTGCTGAAGCTTTACGAGATCTCTGCATTCTCTCTGCTCAGGCTTCCTAACAGACCTGCTAGCCTTTTTTTAATTTCATCATTATCCGCATAAACATTTAATTATGAAGAAAGCCTGCAAGCACCTAGAGGTCACACTCAGTGCCTACAGCTGCAGTTATTCCATGAGTTTGTTACTCCTCATGTACCCAGAGATGAGAGAAGAAAGTTACAGTAGCACTCAGGAAAACAGAGCAAATGGAGAGTTTCACCAAAACTTATTTCGGTTTCCAAATTTCACAAGAACTGGAGACATCGAACAACAGAAAGTATACCAGTCACTTGTAACAGCCACATTTCAGACACATAAAAGCAAACTTCAGAACAGAAACTTTTGATAAGCATATGGGGCGGGGCTAGGGGCAGAATGAAGTGAAATACATGAGGAGAAGAAAAGGGGGAAAAACGCTACAGAAGATACTTGCATAATAAGTATAAATCAGAAAACGAAGGAACTTTTTAGCATCAAGAGCAAAGCAGCAGTAATGACATTAATGTTTTAAAGAAAAACATAGGAAAACTTGGTTTGTTTTTATCAAAGTAGTTCAGGAATAATCGTCAGAACAGACCAGGAGCAGTGAATGATATGGGAGAACTTCAGAGGGACACAACAGGAGAGCTAACTGTCCTTCATAAATCCTCTTCCTCCCGTTACTTAGATAGCTATGAGCAAGTATGTTGTCTCAACAGGAAGAATATACTCACCTTGCAGTGCAAAGTATTCACAAGTAGAACATGAGAATTTAAGATTCAGCAAAGCAGGCATTTGGCAATCAAGGGACATTGGTGGGTGGGGTTTTTTCCTCCTCTACAGGATAGATGGAAATGAAGGTGAAAGGAGGGAGGTCAAGAACATTGGAAACAGCAGTGCAAGTTCACCAAGTAGCATGAGACAGTTTTGAACACAAGCTGTACAACAGGAGCTTTTTGCCACACTGGGGTCTGTACAGAGAACCACAAGACATTTTTGATGATCTAGCTAGTTACCAATAGCTCTCCCTTCATGAGAAAGTTCTTTGAGTGGCAAAAGTCTAAGTACAGAAACCAGTTATTTTGCTTCACCAAGTTGACTGTTAGGAAAGGCCCACAGTAAATTTGGAAAGAAATTTGTACATATGTCCTTTAACTGAAGAGAAGTAGTGAGAAATGGGCATGTTATCATAGAATGCCCTTTTTTAGGTTACTGATCAACTTGAAGATGAGGAGTATTTTGTGTTCAAGGGCAGAGTTGCCAAGTTGTTAGTACCTGAACTCAGCATGTGTTCCTTGTCTAAAGGAGACTTTGTAAAAGGATTTTTTTTTTTTTTTAAATAGTTGCAAGGACTTCCGGGAAAGGGAAATTAAATTTGGAAGAGGCTTCAATTATGTACCTTACTTAGGCAGATCTGATAAAGCAGACATGAGATGAGACAGATTTGATAAAAACCCCCTAGACAATTCATAAAAAAGGGGGTACAGCATTAACCTTTCTCTACAAAGAATTCACTCTTTCAGACTGCTGGAAGAATTGCACCCAGAAGAATGAGCTCATACATTTCACTCTTGCCTTTTGTCTCTTACAAACTAGACTGAACTTAGTGTTAAACTTTAAATAGTTAATGAAGCAGGTCAAATTTGCACCATTACATGGTCTGATAAGGTAGTCAATAGTAATACTTGATAGCTGGGTGAGGCTGCAGAGATAATTTATTTGGAAAAACAAGTTTTGTTTCTCCAGGACAAAGATCAGACGGCAGCAATTAGAAGAGGACTTTGTTCAGTGCTTCAAATAAAGCAAAAACAATAAAGAGGTCTTCTATAGGAGGCAGGCAAAACAGTATATAAGGGTCAGCTGATAAGATCAAGAACAATTTAAACTATAACAGAATAATAGGTTCAATAAGTGTAACTCTGAGAGAAAATGAGTATGTTGATGACTGATGCCACTGAAAGAGCCCCTGGGTACATGAAGCAGAGGATTTATTAAAAGGAAATAAATGTGCCAAGTTACTAGCTTGAAATCTTAAAGGGATTCAGAGGAAACATTATTCCACCAGCTAAGCAGCAGCCTACAGGACAGAGTTCCACATTCATTGATACATGCAACTTTTGCAGCCTGTTATGAAAAAAAACACTTTCAAACCTTGGATCATCTGAAGAGTCATAAAAACATGGTCCCTGGGAAGCACATACTAACCAAGAGAGATGAACATAGAGAAACCAGAGGTAAATGGAACAAATGTGGCAGGCAGCTGCAAGCATAACCATGCTAAGACCTATGGCTTCCCTAGTGAATTTAGGAAGTATTAGTGACTTCCTTGAGAGCTGCCTTGAACATCCAGCATTAGGGGAAGAGTTCCTGCCATCTATGAAAGAAGCTACTGTTGTTCCTTAAGGGATAGAAAAGACCTTTCTT